GGACGAAAGGAAGGCCGGGGGGGGGGGGGGGGGGGAGGGATTAAAACACACACCCCCTCTACTTATAAACAATCCAGTGCCTGTGACTGGGCAGGCAGAAACCACCTTACGCGTGCCATAATACTTGCTGGGGGACACAGGTGGGAATAAGCCAGCAGGCGTCAATGGCACTTGTGGGTCAGCCTGCAACCACAGGTAAACATCAGTGCTGTTGGTATGTAACAACTGTATGGCAATGTGCGTTTTGAAGGGACAAAAGAATGTTTCCTTCTGGTTTATTTCCTTCATACTGGTTTGGGTTGTTGTTTGGTGGGGGTTTTTTTTGGGGGGGTGGGAGTGGAAATCATTTCACAATCTTCTGAAATGCACAACATTACTAATGCTCATCTATATAGCCTACTGAGCCTGGCCAACAATTCCTGCTTCTGGTACAGATTCATTTCTACTTCCTCATTTATTTTCTTTTCAAACTACCTTTCAGGAGGTCTAATTTCCATCTTATATACTAAAGTATTACAGTGATATTTTTCTATAAGAATCAGTTCTGGAGTGAATTCTCTTTCTGAAGGAATTCTATTCTGCTTTTATGTGTATCTCACCTTGCATCTTTCTCTTTCCTTGATCACTAACATGTTCTCAATGTGGTAACAAGGGGTTAGCACAGAACACAGAACAGGTTGCATATAAAGCAGAAAAGGGACAGGAAAGTTTTAATTCACTATGCCCTCCACACCAATAATTAAAATAAAATGTAAAGAACTACCTACTCTGAGGTCTAATCCCAAAGAGGCTACAACAGCTAGTTTATTCAGGCCCAAATGAGACCCCTACAGGTAGGGGGTCCTAAGGAGTAGGGACTCCATAAGGAGTCCTGTGAAAAGCAGATGGACAGCATTATTTCCTTTCAGTTATCATAGTCTGATAGGTAGAAGGAAAGTGTAAGCCAGATCTATTACATCTTAGATTTAAGAAGTCCAGTGACTGCAGTGTACACTATTGTTATATTTTAAAAAACTTTTTTACTCTATCTTCTAAAAAAAAATGCTATAATGAAGCAGTTGGGGTTAAATTACCCTTGTCGGAAGAAAAAAAAGTCTTTGCTGCACAAGCTGTGAACATGCTCAAATCAGTGACAAATAACAGTTTGATACACGTACTGCTGCAATCCAGGTCAGGTTTTGTGTAAAGAAGAATCAAGCTAAAAGCTTCAGGACTAGAACTCGGAGATTTGGGGAGTACACCTTCAACTGTGGCAGTCGAAAGTGCAAAAGATTTTATAAAGTACTTAACTTCTTGGCTTGGTTTGTTTATCCAGCATATACATTTTAAAATCTTTGAGAAGAACTGTTCATTTGCAACAGTTTTCCACCAGTGGGGGTGCTGAACCTGGTTGTTCAGGATGCTAGACCTGCTAACCTTATACTACCACTGCCATTACACAGTGGCTAAACTTCCACTGATGCCGTGAACTCCAAGTCAGCAATTTCAAGTTAATTCAATTTTGAAGTCTTTAATGCACTTGCAAAACTCACTGATACCTTTAATTGCACCCCCCAAACATTCTGACTCAATAACTGGTATTTTTTAACTGTACCCTCAACAAGTTCATTAACACAGAGTTAAAGTGATCCACTTGTGATTTAGCCAATTTTGTTACCTTTCAGACAATATTAAAACTACTCCTATCAGGACTTTGACTCTTACCAAATGCATTCTCATGACTCAGTATTTGAGTGTCAAGTACTTTAGTCATGCCCAGTAAGAAGAGGTTATACCTAATGAGAGAACTGTGGTTTTAATCAAAAAATTGCATGGCATCCTGCTCAGATTAAAATTTCTTTTTTGCATAAGAAAAGCAACAGTCTCGCATTCTTATCTAACTCACTCGCAATTCAGCCTCTTTTTACTAAAATAAATAAATAAATAAAAATGCCCAAGAGTTCACAAGAACCTCTAAAACTTTCATTTGGACTTCCAAAACTGGGTACTCTTTGTGACTGATGCATATACTTCTCAGCTCTCGTCCCTTCTCTCTCTCCCCCTGCCTCTTCAAAAATTTGGATAGGAAACTCATTCTTTTGGGAAGAACTCTAAAGAGATACACTAGCAAATACACAATTATAAATGCATTTTACTGCTGATAAAAAAAAGGCTCTGATTATCCAGAAATTATGAATCATTTCAACCAGCAAGTCTTTCTCTGAAGAGACAGCATTACCACATACCCCATTTGTTTCCTATGCTTACTTAATGAAAGTCTCATCTCTGAAGTTTGTTTA